AGTCTCTAATATACTCCAATGACAAAACCACTTGCTTCTCCTTTCTCCCTCCTTTGATCTTCACCTAAATACTCTCTGCCATGTTTCCTTTTTCTGTTTCCTGGATTTTCCCATATTTTTCCCATATGATTTTCAACCTTCTTAATATATAGTGCTACCCCATCCACTCTATCCCCTATCCTGTTTTTTTGAATAAGGATAATCCAGAACCATAGTCCACTCACAGGTTTCATTCCATCAAGTCTCAGTGGCCTCTTAGATTCTGCAAGAGCAAGTACCTGAGTTCAGTATTTAAGAAAGGCAAGAATTCTAAGAGAAGAGATGAAAGAATGCAGCTAGGATGCCGAAATCCAGGATCAGCAAGTAGATCTACTTATTTTGAGATCATACTGGTTCATGATCAGCAGCCATCTAACATCTATAGGAAAATATTGGTGTGTAAAGGGTAGGCTTTTCTAGCAGTAAACCAATTGAGATCTTTGAAAGCCTAGTGCAATTTCCCAAATATAATGCTAGCTAGCCTTACCCTATTCAATTCTGGGCTCACTTCATTGTCTGTTTGCGGCATCTGTCCACAATACATGGACGAGCTAACTAACTGAATAGGCTGCCTGTAGTAACTGGCATCTCCATAGCACTCAAAAGTTTACTAAGTGCTTTACATACGCTATGCTCTTTGAACCTCCCAACAAGCCCATACGGGGTAAATACCAGAGGCATTATTGTCTTTATTTTAAATGAAGAAACTGAGGCTTGTTGAGGTGAAGCAGTTTGCTCCCAATTACACATATGATACACACATCAGATTCATGTGTGCACATATACACAAACACACACATGGCCATGCACAGCTAGTAAATGTAATAAGCAGGATTTGAACCTAGATTGTCCTGGCTCTGGATCTAGCACTCTACTGTATCACATTGCTTGTCAGAATTCCCAGACAATTTCATGCCCTAATCAATCAGTGAGTCAATGAGCACTTATTAAATGTTTACTATGTGCTGAGCACTATGGCAAACACTGGGAACACAAAGGCAACCAGTTTCTTCCCTTAAAGAGCTCACATTTTTTATGAGGAAGACAACATGTAAATAACTATTTGCATACAAGATCTATAAAATACAGAATCAGAGCACTCTCCCTCCTGGAAACAAACTGATACATTCTTACTTTTTTGGCTCTCTGTGCCTGGAATGCACCTCCCACCTCACCTTAAAATTATCCTAAAGTTTATCTCTCTCTCTCTCTCTCTCTCTCTCTCTCTCTCTCTCTCTCTCCTTCTCCCTCTCTCTCTCTCTCTCCCTATCTACCTATACTGGCTGTGTGAAGTGTGACTTGGGCAAGTCACTTAACCTCTGTTTGCCCAAGTTTTCTCAACTGTAAAATACAGATAGTAATAGTCCCTAACTCACAGGTTGTGTGTGTCCTTCATTCTCAAAGAGGACCATGACATCAGGGAGATGACATGACTTGCAGCACATAGTCAGTGCTTAATAAATACTCATTGATTTACCAATAGATTATGCAGACCAACACCTTTTTATTTATGACAACTTTACCTTGGGCATGTTACATTAGGTAAATCATGGCTCATCTTATCTTAGTTACACGAGAGGCAACATGCTATAGTGGAAAGACACCTGGGTTTGAATCTCAACTTTGATACTTACTAATTGTGTGACCATGAACTAATCATTTCAATTCTCTGAGCCTGAGTTGCTTCATCTGCAAAATACCTATAATGCTTACCTCATAGGAAAGATGTGAGGATCAAATGATGTAAGACACTTTGCAAACCTTCAAATACTATATCTACCAATCTACCTGCCTATCTATCTATCTATCTGGCTGGCTATTGAGAGACAGAGAGAGTAGCTGGAAGGTAATCTGAGGTGGGGGGAGGCACTAACAGCAAGGGGGATCAGGAAAGGCTTTCTGCAAGTGCAATGAAATAGAGACAAGAGAGTGTTGTGTGTGAAAAGCAGCAAGAATTCAAGGAGGCTAACAAGGTATAATAAGAAGACTAGAAAGGCCAGAAGAAACCAGATTATAAAGTCAAATCAATGAACATTTATTAAGTACCTACTATGTGCAGGCACTGTGCTGAGATTAATTTGGAAGAGCTTTAAATGCCAGACAGAAGACTTTGTATTTTATCCTGGAGGTAGGAGGGAACCACCAGAGCTCACTAAGCAGAGGGATGACATGGTCAGATCTATGCTTTAGAAAAAATCACCTTGGCAACAGAATAGAGGATATGTTAAAGCAGGAAGAGATCTGAGGCAGGAAGAAGGTTATTGCAATAGTTTACAATGCAGAGTAACATGCATGTACAAATGCTTTTTCCATCCAATTTGCTTTTTCACACAATTTATAGTTTACATGCATCTTGTATTTTATATATAGCCAGTGCATGGGTTTAATGGAAGAACCAAATAAGGTGTACCCCCAGAACTTCACAAGATTTTATATCACCCTTTGAGGCTGAAACCCAGAAGAATCAACACCAAATGATTTATAAGGGTAACCATCTATGGCGGAGGTGATTTGTAAAGGGTATCTCCTATGTCTCCCATCAAGGAGTCCAGCAATCTCACTAAGATTATATATAACTCTTATACAAATCTTATACAAACAAAGATACAATTTATATACCTCATGTAGATACATATGTTATATATAGGTAAAACTACATATTTTACACATATATGTTATATATAGCTAGAACACATGTGTTCTATCTATATATAGGAAATATATTCGATGTCCATATGGTATTTGAAGGTTTGCAAAGTATCTTACATCATTTGATCTTTACATCTTTCCTATAAGGTAATTATTATAGTTATTTTGCAGATGAAACAACTCAGGCTCAGAGAATTGACATGACTAGTTCATGATCACACAATTATTAAGTATCAAAGTTGAGATTCAAACCCAGGTCTCTTTCCACCATACCATGCTGTTTCTCTTGTAACTAAGATATGGTGAGCCGTGATCTACCTAACATAACATGCCCAAGGTAAAGTTGTCATAAATAAAAAGATGTTGGTCTGCATAATCTATTGGTAAATCGATGAGAATTTATAAATGCTGGGTAAGCTAAGCACTGAGAAAATAAACAAAAAAGCAAAAATTAGGCCATTCTAATGCAAGAAGCAATATGCATTTAAATAGTTTGTGCAGCACTTTAAGGTTTGCAAAATACTTTTCAAATATTATTTCATTTGATCCTCACCATAACTCTGGGAGATAGGGACTACTACTATCCCTATTTTGCAGTTGAGAAAACTTGGGCAAACACAGGTGTGCCCAAGTCACTTGCCCAAGTCACATGGCCAGTAAGTGTCTGAACTTGGGTTTGGACACAGCTCTTCCTGACTCCGATGCCAATGCTTTATGCACTGTGCCACTTAGACGGCTAGGTATAGAGGGAAGGTAACCTTAGGGTAGACAACCTCAGGGTAGATAGAAGGAAGCAATGGACCTCCTGCAGAAGGTGGTGCTTGAGAGGAGTCTTGAAGGAAGCCAGGGATTCTGAGACAGAGGTGAGGTGGGAGGTGCATTCCAGGCACAGAGAGCAAAAAAAGTAAGAATGTATCACTGTGTTTCCAGGAGGGAGAGTGTTCTGATTCTAAAGACTAGAAATCCCTCATTCAAATACAGCTATCCCTAGAGCTGAGAGAACAATTTATCAGGCCACTACAGCTTGACAGAAATATCTGTTAAGGACACCCAACTTACTTTGCTCTCATGCTCACCGAGCAGTGCTCTGATCTGTAATTTGGCCTCTGGAATAAGTGACTGGAGTTACCTTGCCAGATGGATCTCCCAGTGCAAATTAATAATTCGGCATTCTAGTGGATAAATCTGCCTATTGTAAGTTTGGTTAGTGTGAATTGATTCCCCAGGGCCTATGCCTAGAGTGAATTTATAAAAAAAGAAAGGAAGCTTTAGCCGATTCCTCCACTTTTGGGGGGTCCTTTCTCAAACAATCTCTTACTTATTTTTCTATGTAAATGTTGCATCCTATCCCTTCTCCTCAAGCAAAATGCAAGCTTCTTGAAGGCAGGGATGGTTTTTCCTTTTTGTCTTTATTTCCCCTTTCTCCTAGCACAGTGCCCTGAACATAGTAGGTGCTAATTGCTTAAGTTGAATTAAACTTAAAGGGCTTGACTCAGTTTGTGTAGGCCCCTGGAAGACTAAGCCACAGATTAAGCCACATTGTGGGTGCTAATAAATGCCTTGTTAAATTGAATTGAATTTAAAAGGCCTGACTCAGTTTGCAGAAGTTCCCAAGGACTAAGCCATATTTGCACATCATAAGTGCTTAATAAATGCTTGTTAAATTCAATTAAACTTAAAGGCTTGACTCTGTGTGGAGTCACCCAAGGACTAAACCATACTTGCACATTGTAAGTGCTTAACAGGTTTATAGATCTAGAACTGGAAGAGACCTCAGAAGTCATCTAACCCAATCCCCTTATTTCAACAGATGAAGACACCGAGGGCCAGGGAGTTTAAATGATTTGGTCAAGGTCATACTGGTTACAAGGGGCAGCGGCATTCAAACTCGGATCATCTGATTCCAGAGGAATCAAACTGAACCACGGTTTGAATTTTCCATTCCTGCTATAACCCGCCGTTCCATATCCAAGTACTGTGCTGAGCCACTGAGTTCCAGGTTCCAATCCTGAAATGAAAGAGGCGAAGACGCCACAGAGGGCTTAACTGATTAAACTCATAGGTGCCAGGGGCGCGCAGCGAAGCCCATCGCCCAGCGACGTCACGGCTAGCTTGCTTGCAGCTGATTGGCCAAGGAGTGCGCGGGTAACCGAGCCCTGGAGGAGCGTGAGCTTCCTCTGTCTAAACCAGCCTCGGTTTTTCTTTGGCTAATCCTTTAGCATTTCCGGCAACGCTCTGCCCCTCCGCCAGCCTTCGTGTTTTTCCGGGCGAGCTCGGGCATTTCCGGCCAGCCCTAGCTTCGGCGGTTTCCGTGCCGCACTCGGGCGTACTCGGCAGCCGTTCGGCCTCCCCCATCCCCCGGTAACGGTCGCTGCTGAGTTTAAATGAGCCGGGGCTGGGCCGGGCCGGAGCCGCTACGGGGGGGCCTGAGGCGCGACGGAGAGCGGGCCTGAGCCTTGAGAATGACGGTGCTGCAGGAACCCGTCCAGGTAACGAGTACCTCGCCCCCTTCGGCCCCAGGCAGCGGCGGCGGCGGCGGGGAGGCCACGCTCGGCCCCGGCCGGGCTGCGGCTCGGGCTCGGGCAGGGCCTGGCGCGGCCTAGGCCCCGGGACGTTGCTCCTCCTCCTCCTCTGCGGACCGGTTCGGCCCGGCCCTCAGGCCTCCGGATCCCGGGCCCACGCCCACAGGAGCCCCCGGGAGGGGACGGGGTCCCAAGCGCGCCCCCGCCCGTCCCTCCTGTCAGTCCCCGGGGCCCCCAGGGGAGAAGTACGCCTCGTGTACGCCCCCGGGGAGGGAGAGAGGGAGCCGGAGTCCTGCAGGCGGGAGGGTCGGGTCGGGTCGGGTAGTGTCTGTAGTGGAGGGGGAGGAGGAGGGGCACCAGGCTGGCTTGGCGTCCTCCAGGAACCCGAGAGTTTGGGGATGGTTTGCATTTTTTTTTTTTTTTTTTTTTTGGGGGGGTTGGAGGTTTGGGGCGGGGGGCAGGGAGTATGATGGTGTTTAAAACCAGAACTTGGCCTTTGGGTGACTTGGCCTTTCCCCAGCCCCTGTTGTTTTCTGATTTCAGTGTGAATTCACCACTGGACATGTGGCTTAGCCTGGCTAGGTTCAGGTATAAGATACAGACACTTGCCTAACAGCCACAGTAGCGTAGGGCTGGGCAGGGTGGGGATGGTGTCAATGCCAGGTTTTTCCATCACAGATAATGATGGGATCACGGGGTATTTTTTCGTCTTGCACATACGTAAAGTGAAATTTAAAAAAATCGAATGGCTTTCCCATTCTTTTTTTTTTTTTTTAAAGCCCTCTTAAGTCTTCATTGTCATTACCAAATCAGGTATATTTTTGATTTACACCGTTCTATAGGGATGGAATAGAAGAGATCCTGTTGGATTTTGAGAATGTGATGCAATGCCAAATCTTTTTGCTATGCTTTCTGAAGGAACTGAATCCTTTGTGCCTTGGTGATGCACCAAGTTTGGGGGGTGGGGGTTCTACATTATGTTAAGTGAGTTGACCTCTGTCTTGGGTTTCTCTGTGGGTTTGAAGCAAATGATGATGATGACCAAGAAAGACTTGGTAGTATCCTTATGGTTTTGAGAAGTGCTCTATGTTACCATTAATGTACCTGTTACTACCAACAAATTAATCTAACAGTAAACATTTAAATAATATCATCCCCATTTGTTAAAAGTTCCAGAGCCATTAGTGTTTGAGTCAATGTGATGTGGGTCTGTAATTTAGAGTTGTAATCATATGCAAGATATCCTAGTGTAATAAGTGAAAATCCAAAACTATTTCATCATTTGTCCAACCAGCCTTTCTCTTATCAACAAATAAGCTTAAATTAGAAGTCCAGCCTTTTTGGGCCCTATATAAACTTGTTAGGTACCTATGCCCCTTCTCAGTTTAGTGAGTATATATTTGCTTCTATTACTTCATTTGCATTTCAAATTAATTTTATCCGAGATTTTATGCCAATACTGAGTTATAAATTTGCTTCTTCTAGCCTCAAAAGATTTTTTTTAAACCTGTCTCCCAGAGTTGTAAGGATCAAATGAGATGATATTTGTAAATGCTTAGCATAGCTCCTGGAACATACTAGGTGCTATATAAATATTAGCTATTATTATTATTGACTATTTTTTCCCCTAAAGTTATTGACTTGTGTCATCACTGAAGTCCAGCCTCTGTGAAGAGCATCAGATGTAACAAAAAGGAAAGGAAATTTGTGGTCCAGAACCCTTGTATAATACATACCAATTTTCCTTCCTTTCCATCCAAACATTCTTATCAATGATGCACTTCAGCCCTTCTTAAGCCTTAGAATCCAGTAGCTTATTAAATTCATGTGGTTAAAAAAAACCAAAAATGACAAACACATCGCTGTCCTTTGCTTTAAGGGTCTTTGTCCAGGTGCGATTTTTTCAGGGTTTGATCTGTAGAGCAATATGAGTCCTCTACCAAGCTTTGATTAGGTGGCATGGTCAGGAGCATTGGGTGGAGCAGACATCTTTGGCAACTCCCAATAAGGATCAATCAAAATGAGATGGTGCTAAAGGTTGGGGCAGGGACTGGGGCTGGGCCTAGAGCAGGGAAGAGGAGTTTTGTAGTAGAAAGATAAAGACCTATATAAAGGTACTGTCTGTAAAGGTAGAAGAAGGCATGTGTGGGAGTTTTGAGTAGGTCCACTACAAATTTCTTATGTAATCTCAACTGGCTCTTTGCTGCTATATAGAAACCTTTTGTTCTTTGCTGATTAACTTGCTGTCCCACTCACCAAAGTCTCTGTAACAGACTTCTTCTCTCCTCGGGCTAACTTTACCCCTGACTCCCACCCTAAAAACAGAGGATCTGACATTATACTTCACTGAAATAAATAAGGCAACCTATCATGAGCTTCCCTATTCTCCTCACTTGTACCTACACATCAAGTCCCCAGCATTATCCCTAACTCTATCCTCCTTTGCTCCAGACTTGCTCTAGTACAAGTAGAGGGGTTAGCCTTGAGAAGGAAGAGGGCTCTCCCTTGAACTTGCCCCCACAATCATCCCTTCTCTATAATTTTCAAGCTTTCCTTCCTTACCTGCTGGATCCATCTTCACTGCCTTCAAACATGCCCTACTCTTCCCCATCCCTAAAAAAAACCCCAAAACTTTCACTTGATCCTACCTTAAAAACCCCCCCAAAAAATCTTTCCCTTTTTTTATTATTACATTCTCAGGTTATTAATCCTCCACCTTTGCACCACTGAACACTAGGAAAAATTGTCTAGACTCATTGCTTCTACTTCTGAACTCTTTGCAGTCTGGTTTCCATTCCCACCACTCAACTGAAATTGCTCTTTACAAATAATCTCTTAATTGCTAAATTTAATGGCCTTTTCTTGGTCCTCACCATTCTTAACTTCTCTGTAGCATTTGACAGCATTGACTATTCCATCCTCCTTGATAATCTTTCTCCTTTCCATGGAGAAAGGTTTCCATGACACTGATCTTTACTGGTTCTCCCACCTGTCTTCTTTACTAATCACTATCCTTATTCAAACCCCTAACCATGAGTGTCCTCTTTGTGTTGGGCCCCCTTTTGTCTCAACAATGTCTCTTGAATCTCATTGCTTCCTATGGCTTTATCTCTTGCAGATGACTCTCAAACCTGTATATCCAGCTCTAGTCCTGAATAAACTGCCTTTGGATATCTCTAACTGGATGCTTCATGTATAACTTAAACCCGAAGTGCCTCAAGTGGAACTCATTATCTCCCCATCCAAAGTCATCCTTCCCACAAATCTTCTCTTTTCTGTTAAAGGAACCATCATCTTTCCATTTACCCAGTTTTACTTTCAGTCATCCTTTACTCTTCCCTCTCTGTTACCACCCATATTCAATTGTCAAGTTTTGTCAGTTCTGCCTTCATATAGTCTCTTCCATCTATTCCCTTTTTTCTACTCACATAGCCTTTTTCAGGTCCTCATTGTCTCTTGCTTGGACACTGCAACAGCTTCCATTTTGGGTTTTCAACTTCCAGTCTCTGAACTCTGCAATCCATCCTTCACACATTTGCTGAAATAATATTCTTAAAACAGAAGTCTATGCCACACCCCCTGCTTGTACCCTTAGTGGCTCCCAGTTGCCCCTAGAATAAAATAAGTCCCCTGTTTTGGCATTTAAAGCTCTACTCAGGCTACCACTTAACTTTATCAGGCTTATTTCACATTACTCTTCTTCACATACTCAGTGTTCCAGAAAAACTGGATTGCTTTGTGTTCCTGAATTTGGCATTCTGTCCCTTGCCTTCAAGCACAGGCTGTCTGTTTCCCCTCTCCCCTCCATCCTTGGAATTCATTCTGTCCTGACCTCCATCTCTTAGACTTCCTAGTTTCCCTCAAGAGACTCAGCTCAAGGGTCACCTCCTATGGGACCTCTTTCCTGACCACCCAGTCATTAATACTCTCTCTTTCCTTCTCAAATTATCATCTCATATATATATATATATATATGTGTGTGTGTGTATATATATATATATGTATGTATGTATGTATGTGTATGTATATGTCATGTCTGTTTACACATTACATCCCCCCCCCCCCACCCCCAGTAGAATTCCTTTAGGACAAGAGACTCTCTTAAAATTAATTTTGTGTTTATTCCCAGAACCTCCCACAGTGTTTTGTACGTAGTAAGTGCTTAATAAATGTTTGATAGATTAGATTGGATCGCTCAGGAAAGTTAAGTCCTTGGGCTGACAGCTGACCACATAAATGGTATGCTTTCCCATCATTGTGAGCAATCCTCCAAGCAGAGCGCCCTCTGCTTTCTCATATACCTTTGGCCCACTGCCTCTGAAAAGTGGTGTCTTTCTGTTGGGATGTGATTTCTTCAGGTTGGAAACCCTCCTCTCCCCAAAACCCCCAGTGATTGGCAAATCCTGAAAGGTTAAGTGACTTGCCTGTGGTGACTTAGCTTTTATATATCAGAAGGAACCCTTGAAACCTGCTCAGCCTGACTGCTTGGCTGGCCTTCTCTCCACTACTATCATGCTACCTCTAATGTCTCTCTTTTCCAGTCAAGGTATACATTCCCCTTTCCTTGCAAGGGGGAGAGAAGGGGCGGAAGAAGAGTTAAAGACTCCTGCTGTCCCACTCACCACAGTCTCTGTAACAGACTTCTTCTCTCCTCAAGCTAACTTTACCCCCCCACCCTAAAAACAGAAGATCTGATCTTATACTTCACTGAAATAAATAAGGCAACCTATCATGAGCTCCCCTATTCTCCCCACTTGTTCATACACATCAAGTCCCCAGCATTATATATATTCACCTGCTACGTTGATATGGACTAGCAGAAAAGAAGAAGTCATTCCAAATGAGAGCACTTATACTATGTGCAAAGGCTTATACTAGAACATAGAGGCTACTGTCATCTTTCCTCTTCCTTTACCAATTTGAGGGACTAGAGAGAAAAAAATTGGTGCTTGAAATTACAGTGGGGT